TGGTTTGTGCTGAACATAGTGCAATGGAACGACAACACAACTTGAAGAAAAGAATGTGGCATTGCCCCCCTGTGAAAAAGGCAGCGTCCTGATGCTGTAACCAAAGCCTAAAGTGCAATAAAAAAGAACAATAAGCACAAACAATAAAGCACAGTAAAAACAACAAAATACAGTCTTCAGGTTCGTGCATTAAATGGCTTGAGGTGCACGACATGGACGACTTCAGGTCGAGCACAGTGCCGTTGAGAGTTTGTAATGCCGACGGGAACAACCTCTTAGTCTAGTGGGCCTAGACATCAAACAACTCTGTACGATCCGAAGTATCGTCGCAGAAGTTTTTCACTGAGCCCACGTCGGCGGATCGGCGTTTATACACAAACACGGTCCCCGGGCTGGTACTGCACGAAGCTTCGTCGAAGATTGTAATGGCGGCCATCGATCGCCTGCTGATTTATGATACGGAGGTGGGCGAGTTGACGAACTTCTTCCACACGCTAAAGGTAGGCAGTGGCATCGAGGCTGTGTTCGTCAGCAACGTTTGGAAGCATAGCATGCAGCGTCGTTGCCAAGCTCTTTTCATAGACCAACTTGTACGGCGGCATCTAAGCCGTTTCATGGTCGGCCGTATTGTACGTGAAGGTCATGTACGGAAGTATTTCATCCCATGTCTTGTGCTAGACGTCGACCTACACGGCCAGCATATCTGCGATGGCCTTATTAAACACTCCGTGAGGCCATTGGTCTGTGGATGGTAGGCGGTTGTCCGGCGGTGACTTGTCTGGCTGTACCTCAGGATCGCCTGAGTTAGGTCCGCCATAAAAGCTATACCTCTGTCAGTAATGAGGAGCTGTGGAGCAACGTGACGCAGGACGAGGTTCTCGACGAAGAACTTTGATACCTTGGTGGCACTGCCTTTGGGCAGAGCCCTAGTCTCGGCGTAGCGCGTGAAGTAGTCGGTAGCTACGACGATCCATTTGTTCCCAGAATTCGACAGTAGGGAACGGTTCCAGTAAGTCCATATCGATTTGCTGTATTGGCTTGTGAGGTGGCTTGATGGGCTTGAGAAGTTCGGCTGGCCTAGTCGGCGGTGTCTTTCATCGTTGGCAGTCCTGGCATGTCTTCACGTAACAAGTGACGTCAGTGGAGAGGCTTGGCTAGTACTTCTCTTGTATTCTTGCAAGCGTACGGGAAACACCGAGGTGTCCAGCTGTCGAGTCGTCGTGCAGAGCATCCAAAACTTCTGCACGTAGCATTGAAGGTACTACGACGAGATAGTTGCCCCGAATCGGCGAGAAGTTTTTCTTAGGGAGAGTGCCGTTCTGCTGAAAAAACGACTCAATTCCTTGTTTGAATACTTTTGGAACAACAATGGTCTTGCCCTCGAGGTATTCTACAAGGCTTCTGAATTCCGGGTCAGCTCATTGTCGCTCGGTGAATTCGTCGGCACTTACTGTTCCACAGAAGCAGTCATCGTCTGCGTCGTCCTTCGGTGGTGCTTCGACGGGGGCACGAGACAGGCTGTCGGCATCAGAGGGCTTTTTTCTGGACGTTAAACGACAAAAATGTCGAATTCTAGCAGTCTCAGGCTCCACCTTGCGAGACAACTCGACAGGTATTTCAGGTGTGCCAGCCGACACAAGGCGTGGTGGTCATTTACAATTTTAAAGGGCCTGTCGTAACTGATGTAGGGGCGAAACTTTGATTTAGCCCAGATAATTGCAAGGCACTCCTTTTCTGTTGTACAATAGTTGGCCTCTGCCTTCGATAGCGTAAGGCTAGCATAACTGATGACTCTTTCCTAGTCCATCAGTTCTCTGCACAAGAATGGCGCCGAGTCCTACGCTGCTAGCGCCTGTATGTATTTCTGTTTCGGCAAATTCGTCGAAATGCGCAAGTAACATAGGCATTTGCGGACGTCGTTTTAGTTCTTGAAATGCTTCCTCCTGCGGCTTTTCTCACTTTAATTCTACGTCGAACCTGGTAAGGTTTGTGAGTGGTTCGGCAATCTGAGCGAAGTTTTGGATGAACCGCCTGTAATAGGTGCATAGACCGAGAAATCGACGGATGGCCTTCTTGTCGGTGGGTGGCGAAAATGCGGCGATGGCAATTGTTTTCTTTGGGTCGGGGCGTACTCCGGACTTGCTTATCACATGGCTCAAAAACATGAGTTTCTCGTTTGCGAATTGGCACTTTTCTGGCTTGAGGGTGATTCCTGAAGTTTAAATTGCTTGAAGTACAGCTTCAAGGCGCCAGAGGTGCTCGTCGAAGTTTGAAGAGAACACAATGGTGTCGTCAAAGTACACAAGGCAAGTTTGCCACTTCAAGCTGGCCAGTACAGTATTCATAACACGTTGGAAAGTTGTGGGAGCCGAGCAAAGACCAAAAGGCATCACCTTGAGCTCGAAGAGGCCATCTGCTGTCATAAAGGCGGTTTTAGATAGATATGTGGGGTTTAACGTCCCAAAACCACCATATGATTATGAGAGACGCCGTAGTGGAGGGCTTCGGAAATTTTGACCACCTGGGGTTCTTCAACGAGCACCGAAATCTGAGCACACGGGCCTACAACATTTCCGCCTTCATCGGAAATGCAGCCGCCGTAGCCGGGATTTGATCACACGACTTGCGGGTCAGCAGCCGAGTACCTTAGCCACTAGACCACCGCGGCGGGGCATAAAGGCGGTTTGCTCTCGGTCTCTCTCGTCAAGTTCAATTTGCCAATAGCCGTTTTTGAGGTCCATTGACGAAAAATACGTCGCGTTGTGGAGTTGGTCGAGAGTGTCGTCTATTTGTGGGAGAGGATACACATCCTTGTTCATGATTTTGTTCAGGCGACGATAATTGACGCAGAAACATAGCGTGCCGTCCTTCTTTTTCACTAAAACCACCGGTGATGCCATGGACTTTTGGAAGGTTGGATGATATCGTTGGAAGGTTGGATGAGACACGGAATCGCTGGGGCTGCGGAGCTTCCAAAGCCCCAAGCGATTGCTGAACTTCTTTGTGGACAAAGTCAGCAATGCAATCCATTTGGGGTTGCGACGAAGGCAAAAGGTTCCTTAGCGCCTCCTGCGCGATCTGTCGGATCGTCTCGTGCAGGTCGTCCATGCTGAGGGCATGGGCTTCGGTGTAGTTGACTGTTGAAGAGCGACGGTCATACTGCCTCGTGCGCATCTCAAGTGCCTTCTTGATTGTTAGGCTCGATGATGAATTTGTCAGCAGTCTTGGACGAGTTGCGAACAAGTCCCACGAACAACTCTTGCTTCACACCCCGCATGAGGAAGCGGAGCTTCTTGTCCTCAGTCATGGCAGGATCGGCATGTCGAAACAGTTTCGTCATCTCTTCTGTGAATATGGTGACATTCTCATTTGGCAGCTCTACCAGGGTCTCCTGCAAAGCAGTGGCCCTTTCTTTGCGGGTGACGCTCGTGAAAGTTTCTAGGAATGCGCCGCGAAAGAGATCCCAGAAGCGAAGTGTCAACCCCCGATTCCCGAATCAGGTCCTTGCTGCGTCTTCTAGGTAGAAGTAGACGCGACGCAGCTTTTCATCAGAGTCCCACTTGTTCAAGGCTGCCACTCTGTCCTACATCTCGAGCCAGGTCTCTGGTTTTTCAAATGGTGATCCGTTGAAGATGGGTAGGTCCTTTGGCTTCTGCGTCATGACCATGGCGGGTGTTGCTACTGGGGCTGTCATAGTTGTCGCAGTAGTGCTGGTGGCATTCGGCTTGCGACTGCTATCAGGTAGAGCCCCGTACTCCAGAGGTGGCCCCTGTGGCTGGCCGCTTGCTCGCGGGTTGAGGTTGGCAGGGATGTTTGGTTTACGGTTGGGGCTTGGTTCTTGACTGGAGGGGGGTGTTTGGTACATAGACTTTCCGGAAAGCACCTCCACCAGATGTCACGGGGTCGTGACGTGGATGAAGGAAGCAGACTGCAGATCGAATAATAAACTGTTTATTCGGGTTGAACTTGTGGCCACGTAAAAGGAAAGTCGGATTACAGCAAGAAGCGGGCACTGATAGCGGCGAGCCGGGCGTCGGCTGTCGATCAACTGACAAGCTGCGAAGCGTGTTGGCATTTATACACTTGCCATCGAGCATTCTAGCGTTATCGCTAGCGGCAATGTTGATTTCAGAATACTCTGAAAGGTTCACAAAGTGGGCATAACCTTAACAAACGATCTAATACAGCCTCGAAGCTTCTTTATTACAGTAGGCGCAGTTTGCGCTGACCATAGTGCAATGGGACGACAACAAAACTTGGAAAAAAAAAGGGGGGGGGGGGACGTGCCAAGATGCATGTCTTGACACGTAGTGCTTGCGATATCTGATGGATGACAAACAACACAGAAAAGTTTGTGATCCCATTAGTGTGACTCGAGATTCATTGCGACGAGCTTCAGTGGTTGTTACAACTGCGGCTCTCGCTACTTTCGCACTGCTGCTGCTTCATGCCAACATAAGCCCAGTGTTAGATCAGTTTATTTATGTATTTATTTATTTGGCCCTCAGGGCCAATGGAATTACACAATTGACAGCTGATATCACACTGTATGTTCAAGAAACTAATGTTCGCTGCCGGGCAGTAAAGGCCGGCAACATTGGATGTGCAACTGGTGCACCAGAAAGCCTCTTTGGGCAGGAACCTTTTGCACACCACAGAAACGTGCCTTTTTCAAAAACAAGCATTTCCTTGGCATGGAGCTAGCAGTACGATGGTTTTGGATTGCTATTTCAACAACCAACGTTGATTTAACATTTGCCTTTTGTGTACCTTTGAACCAACGTGGGGTGGGCTATAGGTGGCCTTTTTTGCATGCCCTTTTGAGTACATAAAACATCACCAAACCTAGTATGATGGTGCTGCTTCTTATTGTGGCTGGTGGTGAAAAACACTAAATTCGGATCGCTAAACTCGCTGCACCTCTTCTGTTGACTACACACCAGAGTGGCCATTGAAACACCAGCGTAGTGTGGGGTCTGCCTCTGTTTCTTTGTTTGCAGACCATTCTGCTGGAGGCCAGTGAACTTCCAGAGAAGATGCTCACTTCTCACTGCTACTACTCGGGAAAACTGGGCCTGCTGCACGTGAGTTTCACAGGAGAGCTTTTTGTCGGTGGGCCCCCTCTTCATCATCGTCATTGTCATCTGCATCCTTGCCCTCACTTTCCATGCACCGATTTGTCCCGTCATAGAATAGCACTGCGATACGAGCCCAAAAATCATGTGACATTGTATAACAACTGGTTATGGAGTTAATATAATGTAACGCCTCATCGAGTAGCAACGTGACTAAAAATATTGTAACTTTTAATAGCGGAACTAAAATCACCTAACATATATAATGTGTGCTTTCACTAAAATCACATAACACTGCATAACTAGTCATGTGACCTAATTGTGTACCGTCGTGTAACAACTACCGTACAGTAAAGGCTTGTTCATCCTGATTTCATTAACTTGGAAATTCGGTTATCTCGGACACGCAGCACCGTCCTGGCAAAACTGCGTATATTTCAGTGTTGTCAAATGCTCGTTAATTCGGAAGAATTTCGACACGCTTAATTTAACTTCAACGATTCCAGAGAGGGCTATCGTGGCTTCATGCTTTCAGTAACCGATTCCGGTTACTGAAAACGTGGAGTCCCGGCTCTGCCTGGAGAAACCGAAACCAAATGAACAGCAGCAGAATATGATCATGATGATAGTGAATGAGGGGGAAGGGGCCAGGTGGCGCTAGTAACCACCCGGCAGAAGCGCTTGGGCTACTGGTGCATCCAGTGTCTGCGAAATGCGCCAACGGCGCTGCATCCTCCCGCATGCACGGACGACGGGACAGTTTGCGCAGCTGCCGCTACCCCGATTGCCCGCAACCTCGGAGGAAGGAAACGCGCTGCTGATCTCTTTGCATTGTGACTTCGCGCTTAGCCTGTGCAGCTCGGCTACATCAAAAGAGTTGACTGTTAGGCGAGTTGGCGCTTTGACATAGAAACCGTCGTTATGTTGTCAGGCTGTGTTTGTGCGCGTTGATGATGGTATGGCCGTTGCCGGTTTGCTGACTGATGATGACCTAATCATGATGATGTCGGAACTGCTTGAAGAGGATCAGAGTCACTGTTCCGATAATGACATTCAAGATAAGCCGACGCGACATTGCACTGTGCCGGAGGCCGCCGAAGCCCTCGCTGTCTTCGCGGAGTTCTGCATCGGTTCTCGTGACAGGGAGCGTGCATACCACCACCACATAGGGTTGAAGAAGATCATTCTAGCACTAATTCTGATGACGAGGCAGACAAAGTTGGCGAAGTTTCTCATGAAATAAAGGTTTGTCTGTGCCAAGTAAATTTTTCTTTTGTTTTGATGGTTCATCCGGAATTCGGTTAACTCGGACATTTTCACTGATACTGTGGGATCCGGGTTAACAAGTTTTTACTGTATCTACTCGCGTAATGAACCCACTTGCATAAGGAACTGCACCCCCCACCTTGGGCCTTGAAAAAAAAAAAAAAAGAAACAAAAAGGCTTTTTTGAATGTATCTGTTCATTATATTTCGGTATGATAGCCACTGCTGTGAAGATCGCAACAACATTAAATCAAGCCATTATATCACAAAATAACAATGCAATAAGCATCGAAACCTAGTTTTCCAACCATGCTAAACAGTTGCAAGCAATGCGAGCGAAGAGAATGTCAGTCCAAATTTGAAAGTCGTGTCTTTTGTGGCAAAGTGCCATATCGAAGGCCATGCGAATGCGCAATTGCACCCATGGCACGTCGCGCACCCGCTACGTCTTCCATAACGTTTGTGTGCCGTTATTTGATGCTATGTTTTTGTTGTAGGGTTTGTCATTGTGAACTTAGTTGGGACACCTGCTGTGCAGGGTGCGTTCTGCCAGTATGCTAGCTACACGGCTGGTCACAAACAGCATGCGCTGGAGCATTGGAACTGAGAGCTGGACGACACTTTGGCGCCGATCTGAGCGCTTTCATCATGGGAGGAAACAAAAAGAGCTTCAGGCGACAAAAATGATTTGGCGTGCATTTCACAGGCCAAAACAAGCAAAGCCGTCTCATGACATTTTCCCTCTTATAGCTTCCGTGACTTTTTTCTTCCGTGTAATGAACCATCCTCCCAAATTGGCGTCAACGTTTGGAAAAAAAGGTGGGTTCATTACACAAGTAAATATGGTAGTCCTGTCACTGAAATCATGGAACACCTAAAAACGCGACTAAATTGTGTATTATCATGTAACAACTAGCCAAGTGATTGAAGATCACATAAAATCGCGTAACAGCTAGTAATGTGACATGTTCCCGCCATAAATCATGCAAGAACTGGTCCCATTACTCAAAATCGCCTGGCATCAGGTGACATGTTCTCTCCATAACCACATAACGGCTATACAATAGACCATTTTTAAACAGAACCTGAAGGCATTAGGAAAATGTGTTCTATTTAAAAGGAGTTCCATTTACTGAGAGATGAACAAGGCTGGAGAATTCAAGCATGAAACCAATAGTTTTGGAGGTGGATGTTTCATTTAGGAGAACTTTTGTTTAAGAGATTTTCGTTTACAGATAGTCTACTGTACTCGGGGGACAACTTTCTGTGTCAATGAAAAGAAAGCTAGTTCACATGTAGTGGTCCGCCAAGAAGTCCGGCTCGACTCTCTTTTTGGATGCTGGTCGTGTTCAAATAATACCACTGCATAGAATTAGCTACGTCTGCTTACTCAGCCATTTGTAAGTGAAATTCACCACAAGCCCCTCCGGTGAGTCGACGGAATAGCTGAAGGGCGACACACGCTCACTAAAGACAGAGACGTAATTCTGACTTTGAGGTGCACGTTTTCAGACAGGCAAAAACGCGAAATTGCTCTTCAGAAAGTAATAACAAATATGAATAGCTCCTTGGTATGTGCAGTGTCTCTTTATAAACAGCATCCAGTGGAAAGTAATGTTGTTCTTCCTTATTATTTTCATGCAGAAAACACGGACGCATTCGTGGCAGTATAATCTTCAGTGGTGGCACACGCCTACTTGGCTTTGTAGCCTTCCCTTTAATGCCACAAAGTTTTCTTCGAGTATAGGGACGTTACTAAAATCACGCAACATCTAGCCATAAGACTAGCAATGAATAACTAGTCATATGATTAAAATCGCAAATTCATGGAACGGCTTGTCATGTTACTCGTGTGTAGTCAAAATGGCTGATTGATGGCGATTCATGACTGAATGCTAGATTTTCAGGCACTACAAAATGGGCCTCAGGTCCTAAAAATAGCTAGGCAAAACAACATTTTACACCTTAAATTCCTTGAGTAAAGTCTGTGGGGTCTCGAAATGGCGGCGAGCACCACCACCACGCTCTTGGAGTGAAAGGACAAAGCAGACGCGGTCGGTACAAACCAAATGACATACATACATTTTTTACCTAATTTATAACGAGGATATCGTCTGCCGAATCAATACATCAATTGTAATCAACACACTAGGACATCCTTGCACAATATCCTTACACACACACACTCCAAAACAAACCCAATAACACGACAGACAAACACACAATAACAAAACCAGGCTAACACACCCAAGGCGAGGTCGCCAACGCTTGACTTAGCACGAGGGCCCCCGGCGCGCAGGCCCGCGGTGCCACGCACCGAGGACCCACGCTAGAGTCAACCGTTCGTGGCAACCGCCACGCGCAGAAGAGGCTCGCTCAAGTCTCGCTCGCCACCAAGGCCTGCCTACCACTCTACCAACAGTGGTACTCAACGCGAACACAACGCCACCTATTGCCCGACGGTCGTCACCTGAAATGCGACCTTGGGGCGAGACACGTGCGACACACGGCGCAAACAACTTTACAGGGGGTGTCAGCACCCCCACAAGGCACAATAAATTTCTACTATATGTATGCAAATAGTTTGGAAACAAAAACGTGCATAACCTGTATATAGGACAGCAAAGCATAAATTAGCATACTTTGCACTGGGGGCATGATGATAAAGAGATGGTGGTGCTAATGAGCACCTAGGTATAGTTCTGATCAGCATCTTCTTGTACAGGAGCGAAAAATCGATGAAGATGCAAATGAAATTAAGAACAAAAATTTTGTGTCGAATTGAGGATCGAACTCGGGTCGTTTGCGTGGCAACAAGGTGTTCTACTACACAACCGGCCTGCTTTGAAATACAGTGGAAATATCTTCCTCTGCTTGAAAATGCAGTGAAAAACTAACTTTCATGCTTTACAAACACACACATCCTATATACACACTTCACATTGCAACATGTAATATTTAGTGATATTGCATGGTACAAGCATACATTACCAATGGGCGTCAGAACATGTGATAATCATAACTTTGTGGTTTAAAGCCAGCCATCCATTACAAAAGGCACTCACATTACTGCATCTATTCCCTTAAAACCACTTACCGTATTTACTCGAATGTAACGTGAGTTTTTTTCAAAATCTCTCTGAAGTGATTTGGGGGTCCGCGTTATAATCGAAGCACCTCAAATCGTGCCTTGGTGGTGCCGCCCCACTGGTTCCTTAAAACGGCTACGACAAACCTAGCGATCTTTCAACTTTGTGCTGGCAACATATGCACCCTCGCAACATCGAATCCAATCCAATCCTATTGTTGCGACGTGTTTTGCGGGTGGTTCATTTCCTTTGTGCTTCCGCGACTTCGGCTTGAGCAAATGGCAGCGCGACAAGTTCAGTACGATGCCCGCTTTAAGAGAAGTGCAATACTGATGGCTGAGGAAATCGGGAACTCAGCCGCAGCTCGACGTCTAGATGTGGCGGAATCTACTATCCGTGGGTGAAGGCTCGGCAAGGTTCCTTTTCGCGTTGCATAAATCAGTTGCAACACTTCAAGGTGGTTGTTGCCAGACTGCCGCTAAATTTGGCTGAAAAAGTTTATTCTGTAGTTGTGGCTTCTCCGTTAGAGTTTGGTGGCATCCGCGGTGCATTTCGCGAGTGCATGAGCGACGCTGGCCGTTTTAATTAACGGAATGAATCGAGCCTAGCAGAAGTCGAGCGTGGTGCAGCCGTGCAATGAAAAGGCCGTTTTAAT